TAGGTTGGAGGCCATCGCTACTAGGTTGGAGGCCATCGCTATTAGGTTGGAGGCCATCGCTATTAGGTTGGAGGCCATCGCTATTGGGTCCCTATGAGGTTGAAGGCCATCGCCACTTTATTGGAGGCCATCGCTATTAGGTTGGAGGCCATCGCTACTAGGTTGGAGGCCATCGCTACTAGGTTGGAGGCCACGCTATTAGGTTGGAGGCCATCGCTATTAGGTTGGAGGCCATCGCCATTAGGTTGGAGGCCATCGCCATTGGCTTGGAGGCCATTGCTATTTGGTTGGAGCCCGGCGTTTTTAGGTTGGAGGCCATCGCCGGTATGATGGCCGGGCTATCAAAAAGAACATTGATTGGTATCAAAAACAAAATAAATATCCTTTCACAAAGAGCTACGCCTGCCACTGCCAACCACCTTGGCAGCGCTGCGCGATGTGAATCTGCAGATTTCGTGGCAGGGGAAGCACTTTGAGCACCTCCAGTAGCAGATTTCGTGGCAGGAGCGGCACTTTGTGCACTGGAAGTGCAGATTTCGTGGCAGGCGCAGCACTTTGAGCAGCAGGTTTCGTGGCAGGAGCGGCACTTTGTGCACTGGAACTGCAGAATTCGTGGCAGGCGCAGCACTTTGGGTTCGTGGCAGGCGCAGCACTTTGTGCACTGGAACTGCAGACTTCATGGCAGGCGCAGCACGTCGTGAACCTCGAAGTGCAGATTGCGTGGCGGGCGCGGCGCTGGGTGAACCTCGAAGTGCAGATTGCGTGGCAGGCGCGGCGCTGGGTGAACCTCTGTTGAAAGCGCAGACTTCGCGGCAGGCGCAGCGATTGCAAAACTCGAAGTGCAGATTGCATGGCGTGCGCAAAATTTCTGTGGATCTCAAGACCTCTGACAAGGAACATCTTTCTACACTCCCTGCATGTCTAGACCCCTAGAACCTACATTTCAAGACCTGCGTGGATCTCAAGACTCAAGACCTCTAAACCTCCATCTTTAGATTTGCGGGTTTCTAGACCTCTACACCTGCAGATCCGTCTGGATCTCCAGGCCTTTGGATCTTTGTAGATGTAGACCTCTCTGCATCTCAACCGTGATTTCTCTGAATTTCAAACCACTGGGCCTCTAGGTTTCTGTAAGTGGATCTCAAGACCTCTCTGAATCTCGAAACCACAAGACCTGTGGATGACTCACAAAACATCTGCCATGTTGCAATGGCACCTTGCTCCTCTAACGTTTATGCTGACAACAGGTCTGCTCCTGTAAATTTTGCCCTCGCGTGGCTCACAAAAGGTCTACTGCTTCTCTAAATGTTGCTCACCTAAAAAGGTCTGCTACCTTGGCGTGGCACCTAAAGTTTATCCCCGGGTGGCTCACAAAAGGCCTGCTACGTTGGAATAGCAACAAAATTCTACCCTCGGGTTGCTCACAAAACAACGGCCTGCTACGTTGGAGTCGCAACTTCTTCCTCTAAATTTTAACCTCGCAAGGCTAACAAAAGGTCTGCAACGTTGGAATGGTTCTAAATTTTCCCCTCAGGTGGCTCACAAAAAAGGTCTGCTACGTCTGGTGGTACAAGGTCTGCTACAGCGCCGACCAGGAGATTTCCAAATCACCTTGAACGCGTCTTTCCTCGAAAGTCCAGACCCAAGGGACCAGAGGACCAAGGGACCAGAAGACCAAGGGACCAGCGACCAAGGGACCGGGGAGCAAGGGACCAGGACAAAGGGACCAAAGGACCAACCGACCACAGAACCAGCAGACCAGGACCAAGGAGTAGGGGGTTCTTTTGATTGATACGAATTGATGCTTCTTGATAGGAATCATTTTTTCATTTTTAATTGATTGTAATCGATAGGAATTCATTTGCTTTTTGATAGGTATCCCCCATCGCCATTGGGTTGGAGACCAACGCTATTTGGTTGGAGGCCATTGCTATTATGGAGTTGGGTTGGAGGCCATTGCCATTGGCGAGGCCATCGCCATTGGGTTGGAGACCATCGCAATTGGGTCGGAGCCCATCGCTATTTGGTTATAGGCCATCGCTATTAGGTTGGAGG